AGATACAATGTGATGCATGTATCAGATGGTTTCATTAGGCATGTGTTTGAAGCCAACTAAAATATTGCTTTGATTGTTTTGTATGTTCTTAATGAAGTTCCCCTAAATGACTTTGGCAAATATATTAGATTAGATTAGATTCAACTTTATTGTCATTACACAGGTACAGGTACAGATACAAGGCACAAAATGCAGTTTAGGTCTAACCAGAAGTGCAATAGCAGCAAGTGCAGGATAAATAATGGTTCCATAAATACAGGACATGGGTTTCTATTGAATAAGTATAGAGATGAATACCATTATAAGCAGAATGTTACTAATAGATGAATATAATATATAGATAACTAGTGTTATGAACTAAATTGATAGCTGGATAGGGAAATAGGGAGCAAAATCACAGGAATAGGAGTTATTGCCAATGATAAGTGAAATAAGTAGTGTGAAGGACTTGCTGGTAAATTAATCTGATTCTTTCAATAGCCTTGATCACACACTCTTCTGCTTCTGACCCCTGTCCTTCCTTCAATCTTGGGCCAGACACTTGGCCGCTACTGGAGTGCTCTGCTGTTTTCCATCAGTTTGATCCCGTGACTCTCCCTTTACTGGAGAAAGTAGCAAACAGTATTAAACCCTCTGGCTCACCTTGTGATCCACTTCCCCCCAAACTTTTCAAGGAAGTTCTCCCCTGCATAGGACCAACGGTCCTGGATATTATTAATTCTAGTCTCTCTACCGGTGTGGTCCCTATAGCATTTAAACATGCAATAGTGCAGCCCCTTGTCAAGAAGCATGGACTGGACCAAAAGGTGTTGGCAAACTTCCGCCCCATATCCAAGTTGCCATTTTTATCCAAAATCTTGGAGAAAATAGTGTTTAATCAATTAAAGGCCTTTTTAGATGAACATAATTCATGGGAGGTTTTTCAATCTGGTTTCAGAGTTCTTCATAGCACTGAGTCAGCTTTATTGAAAGTTTTTAATGACATTTTACTCGCATCTGACTGTGGTGACAATGTGGTTTTAGTCTTGCTTGATCTTTCCGCTGCTTTTGATACGGTGGACCATGACATTTTACTAGCTAGGCTTCAGCACCTTGTGGGCATCCGCGGCTCAGCACTGGAATGGCTCCGGTCTTATTTAGCAGACAGAACATTCTGTGTTGACTTTGGCTGCTCTCAGTCCTCCTCTGCTTCTCTACAATATGGAGTCCCACAAGGGTCAATACTGGGGCCACTGCTCTTCTCCCTCTATCTACTCCCACTGGGTTCCATCCTGAGGAAGTATGGCATTTCCTTTCATTGCTATGCTGATGACCTACAAGTATACATTCCGGTAAATCAGAATGGGGCCCTGTCTTTGTCTTCCCTTCACAACTGTCTTCATGAAATCAAAGCTTGGATGTCACATAATTTTTTGAAGTTAAATGATGACAAAACCGAGATTATTGTCTTTGGTCCAGGTGCCTCCCGTCAGCCGCCAGGTGTTGATCTGGGGCACTTGACAAATTACAGAAAGCCAGTAGTCACCAACTTAGGTTTTAAAATGGATGATGATTTTAAGCTGGAGGAGCAAATCAGTGCAGTGGTTAAGTCAAGCTTCTTTCACCTAAGACGGCTGGCAAAGATCAAACCCTTTTTAACCCACCGAGACTTGGAAACAGTGGTCCACGCCTTTATTACATCGCGGCTGGACTACTGTAATGCTCTGTATACAGGAGTCAGCCAGTCTTCCCTCTCTCGCTTGCAGCGCGTACAGAACGCTGCAGCACGACTTTTAACTGGGACAAAGAAGAGGGAACACATAACACCAATCCTGGCCTCACTTCATTGGCTCCCTGTCCATTTTAGAATTCATTTCAAAATTCTTTTATTTTCTTATAAGTCAATAAATGGCCTAGCTCCACCATACCTCTCTGAGCTACTACAGAATTACTGCCCCGCTAGGTCCCTTAGATCAGCTGATCAGCTCCTTCTAAAAGCACCTAGAGCAAAGCGGAAGCTCAGAGGGGACCGAGCATTCTCTGTGGCAGCTCCCAAACTGTGGAATGCCCTCCCCCTTTCTATCAGACAGGCCCCTACACTCAGCTCTTTTAAAACCCTTTTAAAGACCCACTTTTTCTCTCAGGCCTTTGAGTGAGACTTCGACTTTTTTTTTGCTCTACTGGTTTTTTTAATCTTTGAGTTTGTCCTGTGTTTTGGTGATAATTGTGTTTTATAATCTGCTCAAATGACCTGTACAGTTGAGTTGAGTTGAGTTGAGCTGAAATAATCCCCTCAGGTATCTTTGGTAAATTTCTTTGCATCCACAGGACTTGTTGTCCATGATGAGAGGGAAAGGCCATCAGGTATTTGCAGGTGAGTTATTTTGTCCCATGTTATGAAGGGGAACAGGATATTTAAGACAGCTGAGATATCCACCTCAAATCTAGCCGCAGCCGTAAGTAGTAAATGAGAATTATTCATTCTGGTCAAATCCCACAGACCGGTAGGTACTCAATATGGTGGTCAAAAGGTAAAATCATCATGACATTACGCTACTGAAACATATCTAAATAGCTGAATGGATACACAATATTTCAGTATGCTGCAATACTGTATTCTATTCTCCTGCTTTAATGTTCCTGAAATGTCTTTTTTCTTTATTTTAAAGGGAAGGAAAACATTTTAATACTTTAGCGACAGCACTGATGGAGAGATATGCAAAGTAGGCTACTATTCACATCCTCTTGGTAAATATTATATAATATAGCAACAGACAATAAAAATCAGAAATTTGCTGTTAGAAAAAAAAAGAAGCTTTTTACCATTTGCCATTTAACTTCACATATACTCAGTAGTGTAGTTATAAAAAACAAAGAAGGGGGATGGTGGAATGTATTTATTTACTTTTTGGGAGCATACATAGCCTAATTAATATGGTCTATTAATCTAAAGCAATATGCATGGTATGGTTGTTACATGTCAGGTACGTCGGTCATAGACCTTGACCAAGACACCTTATAGTATATAGATACATGGCTATCACTTCTCCTACATAGTTAGGGACCAATTTCTCACTGGGATCAGCTTCATAGTCATGGCAGGGCACTTCTTGGATTTTATCTTATTTGCTCAGGCTACTTGTAAGCCATCAGCCCGCTAAATGTTGAAAGGGCAATATTATTCCTATTACTGTTAATATATAGTAGAAATTTTACACATTCTGTTATAAAATGTCACAGGGGATGGTCATTTCAGATTTTTAAAATTTTGTTAAGAAGGGGGAGACCATCCCCCCTCAACTTGAGTACTGCATATACTGTATTATTAGTAATTCCAGGTAGGGGCACCACACAGTATTTGTGGTAAGGGCCCCAAAATGGTTACCATCACCTCAGATTTCACCTTTCATCTAAAGTATGACACTGCTGTTTTTGTAGCTTCAATCTTCCCTGCTGGATGTGCTAATTCTTACAAAGCTTGCAAAGTGTCCTTATGTGAAGGACTGTTTAGAGTGCTACTGTTACCATTCAATGCTGATCCAGGTCAATTGAGTCCTTTTGGAGCAGGTAAACATCACAACCATGATCATTTTCCTCTGATACTCAGATGAGTGAACTAAGTAGAGTTAAAATAATGCCACCTGAAGAGTTCTGAACAGAGCATATTTAATTACATTTGTGATGCTCCATATGTAAAGTAGGAACAAGTCAGCATAGCCTGAACGAAGAAAAGCAATAAATCCACCCAATTCTGAGAAAAAAAAAATACTGCTTTTGCTTTGATCCAAACCTGCAAGATGAAGTTGATGACACCAACCCTATATTTGCTGTTTTATTGTCCCTACCTACTTAGTAATTAATTGCTGAAAGCCGGAATAGTGGGTGGATTTATTTGTATTTTAAAATGGCCCATGAAACACTTTATTCCATTGTTCTACAGTACTAAAAACAAAAAGAACACAAAAAAAAAAACAGGCATACCAAGGGATCAAAATCTTAATTTCCAAACAAGTTGTAACCATGATGCAATCTGCAGACACATTAAAATGTATAAATACTTAAAAATAACTTAATTTATTTGCATTTTTAAAGAATGTAAATGTTAAGAGTTTTAAAATGTGTTTTTTGCTTTGTTTTTCCTGTGTGTATAAATGTGATGTTGTCGTTTTTTGATGAAAGATGTTTGTCTGTTAAATGCGCACACAAATATTTTCCTGCAGTGCTGTAGATAATCTTAACATAAGGTGCATAAGGTGTTGCAGAAAACTAAATAAAACTATTTATTCTAACAACAGCATTTCTTACCACACAGCTGGTTTCCGGGGTGATAATAAGGAAACTTTGAAACCAGTTTTCTCCTCAAGTTTCTGTGACAACATTCAAATGGTCATATGTTTTCTAATTTTTTATTTTATTTATTTATTTTTTTTTCTTGAGTTCCACAACTTTGTCATCCTTGGAAAGCTTGGAGTCCAGTCTTACCAAGCTTAGGCCTGGTCATGGCTTTTTCACAGCATATCAGATTAATTTAAATGCAAAAATTACATTACTTTTGTGTAGTTTTGGCTTAATTACCCTCTGAGTGGGTTGTTCATCCAGCAATTTGTACATTTTAGTTTTTATATTCTGAAATTAAAAAAAGCTCTAATAATAATTAATTAGTTGATTATTATTTCAATAATCAGTTCATCATGATTATTCTGAGTCAATGTTTCAACTCCATTGGAAAGGCCTTTTTCCTGCTATGAGTTTGGACTATGCTTTTTTTAATACATAAAAAGCCAATAAAGTGGTTATATTGTCTCTCATTTCTTGATTATAAACAAAACATGCATTGGGATATTCAAGTAACCAGCTTTTCTAAATGTAACTGCTTCTTGTGTACATATTATTCCCTATCTGTGTACAAATCTTGCAGTGTGCTTAGCTTGTCTTGTTGGTTGCCCCTAAGACACCTGTGTCCTTAATAACACATTTTTGTTCACCGAGTAATGCAATTTTGTCTATTGCAAGAATCTTACCATATGGTCGGTGCTTCTGTCCCACTGATTTCCAGAAAGTCATATTTGTCTTCTAAAAGGAAGTCAGTGAAAACAAGAGCGATAGTGTCCCCAGGTTCGGCCAGGATTGACCATGTGCAATCCAGGTTGTTGTCATACTCTGATGGGTATCCGGGGCTGGTAATATAACCTGCTGTGCCTCGTAACGTACCGCCACATGCTCCTTCCGCTGGTAAAAGAAGAAAAACATGGACATAGAAATAAGCCTAGAAAATCATAGCTTGGCAATACACTTTATGCACTCGTTTTTTTCTATTTTTTTCTTTTACATAATATTTTGTAAGATGTTCTCAGGTCAGCTTGTTTTGAAGTGTGAATTTTTAAATTTAAATTTTATGTGGTATGTTCTCCGTAATAACAGATTAAACTGTGTGTATAGTTTAAACATCTTAGGTTTTTCACCCATGTGTTGTATTGTTAAAACTTCTTTATTCTTTCCTCTTTTCTTTCTATTGTACTGCATGTTAAAGGACCAATAAATATCTGCAAATATTCACAGGGATCTTTAAATATATATAGATAGAAGGACAGACAGACAGATATATAATTTAATGTGAGTATAACTGAGCCATATGCACATGATTAAAGTATAGCATCTATCTGTCTCTTAGAAATAACGTAATAAATATAAACAATATAAATATATGACAAGTCTTAACCTGAACTACATAATATTAATATTGCCTCTCTCTCACAGTGATAACTTTCACATATACGCTCCTTCTGGTGGACTAAAAGATTATTATTAGGGGTCTTTGCTTGGGGATTTTGGGCTCCATCCAGTTCATACTGCAGAGTATTGTAGAGTAATTGGAGTCAGACCTTTATGAGTTTTAAAGAACATCAATACACTGGTGCTTCTTATATGTCAGCTCATGACCTCATATTAAGGTCCTTAATTTCTTATGACCTTCACCATTTACCTTATTATTACACCTCACCCAAAGTTTTACTTTAATTTTAAAACTAAAGATGCATCTAGGAATCAGTTCCAACTAAAAATGTTTGCTTAACCAGAATAGCAGAAGTCAGTTGTTTTCTCTCCGTCATACATCAGCAACAGCATGATATTTTTTGAAGGAAGGAAGAAATAATAAAAAAAGAAAGCCTACCTCGACAAAACGGTGAAGGGAAGTCCCACTGTGCTCCACTACCAGGTGATACGATGCATGTGAGGATACTGTGACCTTCGAGCACGAAACCTGACTCACAGCTGTATCGGATCTTGTCTCCCATGTTGTACCTTGAGCCATGAATAATTCCATTCGGAATAAGACCGGGTGTGCCACATGTATGGCTGGGAAGGACTAAAATGCAGAGGGGAATAAGAAAGAAAAGAAGAAAGCTGTTCTCAATATTTTAACTTCAGGAAAAAATAAAATTGTACTTACATAACATTTATAAATACAGTTATAGAATCTTAAAGAAATAAGAGCTACAGTAAGACACCTAAACAAAAGGGCATTTCTGTGAAGAAAAGATGCTAGTCACCTGCCTTTCTCCTCATCTTGTTTCATCTTTTACGTGTCATGAAAGAATGATACAAAGAAAGCAAAACTTCTTTCTCTCCTATCAAGCTTTTTCTAACGTTCAGTTTATGACCAACAACACAGTGTTCAGTTCTCAAAGTGGCAGTCCTTGAAATAGATTAAAGTCCAATAAAAAGACTCAGCATTTTAAAATACCAAAGATAAATGAACCTGCTTTTCTAGGATTCTAACAATATTCCAAAGCCACTGTTGTATTTACATGCCCGCCCAACATTTTGCCTTCGATGTGCAACTGTTGTTGCCCATTCTTAGATGACACAGCTAGCTCTATACTGGGAGCTGCTACAGGCAGCTCATGGTCTAACTAGGCCAAAATCAACTGTGACTGTAGCCAACGTGCCTTAGCTCCACAGAAGAGCCAGATACACAGTGGCTGCAATACAACCTGGACAAATTCCACAGGCTCTAACCTCATAGTAAGCTGTGTGTATTTGTATAACTGGAGCATGTAAGTTGCTTGGTGTGTAATGCATGCATTTAATGGATCTGATGTGTGTCTATCTGTGGGGAAAGAGAGTAGAGTGTGTTTGCATGTACGGGGTAGCATGTCAATCTGTTTGTGTGCACTGTTCCAATTAAACCCCAGCATGGTAATTAGACAAAGCTTTATCCTGGAGACCCTGAGAACTAGGACAGAGAAAAAGAGTAAAGAAGAAGTAAAGAAGACAGCAAGGGGTTTAAGCCAAACACGTGAAGAGACAGACATAAGCCATGGGGGACAGACAAGAAGAGATTGAAGGAGGACAAGAAAAAAAAACAGGGTGGGAGGAGAAAATACATTTCGGAACAAAATGAAAACAGAGGAGATCTAATTTTAAAGGACTCTAAACATTTATAATTTACTCTAATGGACTCGTTTGTCGATTGTACGTAGTCGTGCATCAGAAGTAAGTTACTTACAGTCAGCTGACCATGCTGTCGTTTTAGAAACATGCTGCCTGTCTGCTTTGATTTAATAAGGTGAGGCACACAACCGAACCCAGAATTTACACTTAAGCTGAAACATAGGGGAGATGGATGGAGGGAAGAGGTGAAAAGATTGAAAATGGAATGAATCAGCATTGAAGTTTCATTGTTAGTCACATATTGGATAGCAAAGTCCTGTTTTGGCCAAGCTGAAGTGTTAAAGGGAAAATCTACCCTTCTTGCGAACAAAGGAATCCCCTCATTTGAACAAAAGAAGGAGCAAATTGAATCAGGAGGGATTTCCGTAGGATATCTTGCACCACAGTGTCGCTACTAACGCCATAAATCTTATACAGGCCTATAGATGCATTTTATTCCAGCTTCACAAAAAAGTCTAGTTGCCTCTAGTGAAAAACCTATAAATCTGATTAACAAAATTCTAAGCTTAAGGACAGACTTTTAGTAGTGATCAATTCAAGATTATTATGAGTACGAACAGAGAAAAAAAATAGATTTTGAATTTATATTTATATAAACTCTGAAACCTGAAAACCAATTCTTTATCAAAATATAACATTAATACATAATAAACTATGTTTATTTTATTTATTTTTTTCTTTTTACAAATAATTGTATATTTGTTTCTTGTATATTTAGTTTTTTAAAGATGGAGGTGAGACTTAAAACACTTAAAATGCTAATGTAGCGTCTAATCTCCCTAATCCAATCTCCTTGAAATGCAAGAAAAATGTTTTCCCAGGACAGTTAGTAGAACTTTAAAGCCATGGAAAGTTATGCTGTTAATATCCAAAAAAGAATTATGAAGTTTTTTTTTTTTTTAAAACATGCATTTTCATAATTTATTTAATCTTAACCAGAAGAATATTTGTCTGTTTAAAGACCTTTTTTTTGCCTAGGACTGTCTAATTTTTTCTATATATATTTGTTTTACTTTTCACAGCATTATAGCTGAACAAAAGCTCAGATATGTTTTTTCTTCCCCTATCATAAGGTACAGATCCTATTGTGCAAAATAGCTTTTTAAGACTTTACATTTTAGCCAAAATGTTTGAAAAACTGGTTACTTGATCAACTTACCAAATAGTTGTGGCCAAGATCTTTTCATGTCACTAGTCTGGTTTTAGGAAATAGTACAGTTACAGCTACAACAAGACTCAGAAACGACATTATTGAAGCTTTGGGTGCTAATAACTACTGTACTGCTATTTTGAATTACCTGAAAGATGTTTGACAGTGCTGACATAGTATCCTTTGTCTAAAGTGGTCAAATATTGGTTTATCAGATAATGCTGTAAGTTGGATATCCAGTTAGTTGGAGATATTGTATGAACTCAGTGATGTCTCACTATGAGTAAAGTGAGAGATCACTAATCTCTCATCAGATTACCTAAACATTATAAAAGGTCAGATGGTTCCATTTTAGGCCCAACTCGGTTTTCAATCTATGTAAAAGGTGTCAGCAAAAATAACACTGATGCTTGTATACGTTTAGGCTGATAGCGCTATAGTTTAGTGCCATGTTATTGCTGTACTTCAGTGCTTGAGTTTAACTTTTTTTTATTCTTTACTTACTTCACCTAAGACTACTCCTAAAAGCTGTTAAGACGAAGGTCATACTTTTTGTTTATCAGACGATAGTTTTAGAAGTTTTTTCCTTTCAATGAAACAATGACAGGTTCGCTAATAGAGTATGAGGACACATAGAAGTACCTTGGCGTAGAAATAGACAATAAGCTTTCATTAAAGACACATACTGAAAATGTTTTAAAGATGTTTAAGTAAAACTATTTTTTTTCCTTCAAAACTGAATCAGAATTAACTTCAGTATAATAAAACATCCTGTCCTTCCTGTATGCATTAGAGTACTTTGATATTTCATATGAATCAATCTGCCACCTCTGCATATGTTGGATAATCTCTTTATCACCACTTTATTTTATATTCTTTTGTGACCAAGCCATTGTTATTCATCTGCAGACTTGAGCAGTAGGACACTTTAATCTATAAAGGTATCTTTGATATGTTTCTGCCATACTGATCCCTGTACCTGTCACTGAGACATTCCTGGCACAGATTTTGCTCTCAGAGATTTCTCTTTTTCAGTGTTCCGTGTACAACCAGGAGTTAGAAACCAAACATTTTCATGTCCACCCCCGTTATGGAGTACTCTACTGCTGAAACTATCCACATTGATTTCTCTAAGACAACTAACTTTATTTTAAGAAAAACATCAGAAACCTTCTCCTGCAGCTTTAAAGGCAATTATAAAAGCTTACCAAATTGAGTCCAATGCTTGGACTATTTGTGTTGTTACAGTGTTAGTAAACTGTTATTTCTTATTGTTTTGTTCTGCTTTAAAAAAAACACTTATCTCTTGAAAATTATTTCTTGGCTTTAAATGAAAATGTCTGTGAATACAGATTAGAAGTTAAACCAAAAAAGCAAAATTGAATATCCTGATTTAAAAAATCAGTATTATTACATTTTGGTTTACTTTTCTATTATATATTATTGAAAAAGGTATCTATAAACAGTGATCTATGTAAAAAAAAAAATGTTATATTTTGTAACTCAAAATTCAAAAAATTATAAATTACAAAGAATACACAACAGCATACTTGAAACTTAAAATCATACATCAACTAAACTTGTTTTGTGCAGTTTCAAGGTTATAACTACAGCTTTCCTTAAAAAAAAGCTTTGCCTTCTATAATGTCTGATTTAACAAATATAACCATGTTTCCTTGGTTGTATTTTCCAGAAGGTCTTTAATTATCAAACCACAGTTGGAAAAAAGGAAAATTGGGCAAGCTGCTACTGCAAAATTACATGCCCCGCTCAAATCTACCTTTCATCAATAAGATCATGAAGAAAAAAATACAAAAAACAAAGCTGTGATTCAACAGTTAAACACCTTCCTTACAACGAGGGGCTGCTTTGGCATAACAGTCAGGTCTACGTTCTCACCACAGCACAGAGGTTGCCCTACTTTCTAGTACAGCACTCAAATTGTTTAATTCCTGCTTAACAGACAGGGATTTTTTTTGTGTCAGCAGGTAACTTGACATCACAGACCACAACATTCACATACAGGGTGTGCTAGCTGTCTATTGGGCACATCCAATTCGATATGCTCTTACTAACTTAGATAATAATAAACAGCATAAATTAGCATATCAATTTTGACGCCTCACAGCTTTATATCACTATGTTACCAGGTGACTATGAACCGATTTAAGCTGAATACAGTAATATATTTTTGACCAATGAAGGTGTGTTTAAAAGTCAGCAAACAGCTTCAGTTAATACAGCTAGAAACCACCAATTAGCCCCTAAATTTGTGAGTAGTGATAGACTTAAACTTGAAGACCTGCGGCTCTTTAAAACGGTGATAAAGTCATTCTTTTGTCATCTGAAATACATTAGCATAACAAAAGGATTGATTTCTTAGTAGGATCTCAAAAAAATATAATTATTTTTTCCTATCTTTCTCAGAAATTACTACTATAAGTGTCTTCACAGGTCTGGATAATAAGTCGATCAGACATATCCACTTGATCCAGAATGCTACAGCGCCCATCCTCACTAATACTAAGAAAGTCGAGCACATTCCCCAAGTAATTTTTTATATTTCATAAATCTTCAAAAAACACTCCCAGACAAAAGTAGAAGCCAAGGTGCTTTCAGTTAAGATAAAAAAAATATATAAATTTGTTTAGAGTGGCCTTTTAGAGAGCTATCCAAACGATATTATTCAATGTTGCACTCCGACTTTCCTTTTTTTTTTATTAAAATCCTTTTATTATTCATATAATCACTAAATCATTTTA